TTGTTTAAAATTACAGCAAAATCTCAATAGTATCAAACAAACACGAGATAAAGGTATGATAAATATAATCCAAAATGCCAGAATTTGTTAGATATAGACAGCAATCACTTATACTTTTTAAGGAGAGTCACCAGATATATTAGGCCCATGGCAAAGTATCTCCAGTGCGTTACATGCCACAAAAGTGCTACTGACATTCTTTTGGGCCCCAAATCTGAATGAAACATCGTAAATAGTGTAGTGCACGTGTGTGAGTGCATGTGTTATGTATTTATCACTGAATATATCATAGGTATCACCCAGTATCTGGAGTAACATGTCAGGAGAAAAGCCAGACAAACATCTACAACTCTCCACTAAAATGATTCTCACTCTTCAACAGCTTTTTGCAAAATCTGGCTAAAAAATCACCACTTTTTTCTTTGTGTTTAAAACTTGCTCTTCTTGCTAATTTCTGTAGACGAAAATTTTCTTGCCTGTTCGTGCTAGTTTATAGCTTTTCGCCGACTCAGCTAGAGAGTATCAAGCAACAATTTTCATTCAAAGGATGTCTATAGGATGCACTCGATAAAATAGTGTTTATGGCAAGCTAATGAGATAATGTAACTGTAAATAAATTACTTTTTTATGTATATAAACTCATTAAGTGATTTTGGCACGAGCCAAATTGAATAAATTTGTGAAATTCGATATTCACTGTAGAAGCATGTCAAAATAAAACGGCACAAATAATATGTCATAGCAGCCTGTTCAACATGCTATGAAGTAAAAACGATTAAGGTGCTCAAGATATATCGACTGAAAAATAAATTCCAATTTCGCTTTTTTTTTAGAAAAAAGCTCAGTGTTCATTGAAAGCCAACTTTGCTGGTCACTTAGTGGACTAAAAGTATTCATTAAGTTATGTATATTAGCTAAAGATATGTGAAGTTACAGGGAAGTATTGTTTTTTGAACTCGAGAAATACTTTATTTTTTTCAATTTTGTAACACTGTAAACTTTTTGACGATGTAATGCAAGTACAACACGCGTTCGCAACAGCAGCCTTCAGCCCAAGCCCACTGATCTGGGATGTAGGCAGTAAACTTGGTACTGTCTATGAATGAAATGGGGTTATCATTGGCGTTTTATTGCCAACAGAGGCAATACAAGCAATGTGGTCAGAGAGTGACAACATCCCAATGAGCCATCCAGCCATTAAGATTTAAGATCATAACATGGTACTTTCTTCAGAGGGTTCTGCAAATGAAATAGGTGTGTTTTTTATATTTATATAACAATAAATAATATGCATTTAATAAGCCAGATAGAGCACTGGTGCCATTCACGCAATATACTAATAAAAGCTGACCTTTTACAATCGTTTGACTTCAAGTGCAATGCATTTCTTAGTGAACTTCTGTGACATTGAATCAATCAATCATACAATCAAACGATCTCTCTCTCTCTCTCAATATATATATATATATATATATACCTATCTATCTAGCCGCCTACGACCTTGTGCACTCCTTAGCATACCTATCATTAAAGGGATGTACACCCCAAAATTGGTATACATACCGTTATACATTGATTGGTACACTCGCAGCCGTTTCATTACATAGATATATGCCAAATATGATATGACGAGATATTTTTGTACAAATAACACAAATTGAGGGTGTGGTAATGGGAAAACCATGACGTGCATGTCACGAATGGGCTCACATGCATGTCACGAATGGGCTCACATGCATGTCACGTTCATGGTGTGCTTGCGGTTATTTTGCTATAGCTTGGTTTATACCAAAATTAATATGACGTGACCATAGGTCAGCAAAACTTATGCAGCTCATTCAGACTGAGGCTCACAGCTTGATTTGAGTTTGATTGAGTCGACTCGTGGGTGAGTTCGTCAACCTATGGACGTGACTGCATGATGAACATAAAGAGCAAATGGTAACATGTAAGTTATGACATACAATCATGCACCACGTGATTTACATGACGGGCTCTTGGTGTGCTTGCGGCAATTTCGCTAGCTTAATATACAGCGAAAGTTGCATTGCATACCACTGTATGATGACCATAAATGACATTTCCTAACATGCAAATCATAATATCCACATCTTAATTGTACAGCATGGTTTCCTCCTTCCTGGCTGCTTCGCATTATGCATCGATTCCTGTATACTGTGCATGGGATCTGCCTTTTCTTTTTCTTTTCAAGAAAAGCATCCTGCTCCTTGGGAGCCAAAGAATGTCATAAAACTAAAATATAGTCTAGCCTTATGACGCTGTTGTTTATGTTACAGTAACATGATGCACTGCGAGTGTCAACGAAAGCTACTGTGCATGCTCCTCACAGCAGGCAACCCATGAGTGGGGCCATGTGTATATGTCAGGTTGTTAGAATGGCGTGTATGAATTGCTGTGTGAATATATATATATATATATATATATATATATATATATATATATATATATATATATATATATATATATATATATATATATATATATATATATATATATATATATATATATATATATATGCACCTGCAGCAATGTTTTTCAGTGTTCTGCTGTAACAATGCGTCACAAACCGGCGGGAACTCACTCTGGATTAGTGTCCACCGTGTAAATTTACAGGTGATTTTGCGGGCACATTTATAAAGTACATGTAGCTATAGTTCGTAGTATGCTCCATGTAAATTAACTGATACTTTTAATGTGCTGAACCGAATGGCAGCCGGTAATGTGATCTAGAGTCTGCAGTCTACATTTCTTTGGCGGAAAATCTTCGACTGCAGATCCAGCAATTTTCTCTCGTACACTGGGGCCATTTTAGATGCCAAGCATGTTATGGTCGAGTTCAATGCTGTGTGCGGCGTGACCACCCTTGCTGCGCATGCGCGTCCCCTCCCCGTCTCTCTTTTCTCCTACACTCCCCCTTCTCTCGACTCGCACCACCGACGCAAGCAGCATCTGATAGCGAGTTCCTTGATAAAAAAAAAAAAAAAATGACTGCTAGCACTGCACAACCGTTCACTGGCCATCCCGCTTTAGGCACTGGATATTGACCTCCAAGGTAGTGCTGGTGATAGATTTCTATTGTGCGTTGTTGAACAATGAAAATGAGCAGAGTGCACGTTATACTTAGTTAAAAGTGTACTGAGGGTCTCTGCATTTAATAAGAGTCTTGTGTCTCTCACCCATTAGCAGTGATTGGCATGTTACAGTAAGAAACACCGGTCCATCACTGCGTGCCTAACGCCTCGTCCCCAGGTTGATCTCCTGCGCAACGCCGCGATAAGAGCCAGCGTCAACGGCGCTGCCTGTGTAAGCGTTAGCGCCCGCTGCTTCACACGTATGCATGGTTCCCTTTAGTGGGAAAGAGCAATTTTTCTTCCACCATCAGTTTGTCTATCAGCGCAGATCCCAGACTGCGCAGCTCGTAAGTAAGAGCCGTACATTAGGAATAAGCCCTGCATGCCTTACCAAATGCATCGCGTACCACGAGTTTTTAAATATTTATTCCCCATCTGCAGCAGTTAACCTAAACAGCACTGCGCGCGCAATCAAAGCCACGCCACGTCAATCTATCTATATAACTCGGTGACAGCTAAGACATCATGTGCAAAGATGGCACGTGGCTAAGTTACTCAAGGACTCATGCAAATTCAACTTGCGATCAACCAGCTATAGTTCCCAAAGTGAGCAATCAAAGAAATGTAACAGCTATTATCACATCAGGTATTGCCTCTCACTCACACAATAGCCTGCCAAATGTGAGCAGCTTTAATACTCCAACAGGTGCGTACGATGAATAAGGCATATATCCTTTGATTGCTGCACATCATTTACTTATAGGCTTTACCGCAATGCTTTCGCAATGCAGTGAAGCTTAATCATCTTTTGGTAATTGTCTTTTTGTCTGTTTGAAAAGGACTCGCCAAGATGCATATTTGGCCTGAGCAGTCGCAAATGTTTATATTTGTTTGATGCACAAGTGGCCTGTGCATGCGTTCATTTCGTATCATGTAATGCTCATCTGCTCACGCTGGCTTTAAGGCAGTGCTTTCGCGATGCAGTGAAGCTTAATCATCTTTTGGTAATTGTCTTTTTGTCTCCCTGAAACGGACGTGCCAAGATGCATATTTGGCCTGAGCAGTCGCAAATGCTTATATTTGTTTGATGCACTAGTGGCCTGTGCATGCGTTCATTTCGTATCATGTAATGCTCTTCTGCTCACGCTGGCTTTACGGCAGTGCTTTCGCGATGCAGTGAAGCTTGATCATCTTTTGGTAATTGTCTTTTTGTCTGTTTGAAAAGGACTCGCCAAGATGCATATTTGGCCTGAGCAGTCGCAAATGCTTATATTTGTTTGATGCACAAGTGGCCTGTGCATGCGTTCATTTCGTATCATGTAATGCTCTTCTGCTCACGCTGGCTTTACCGCAGTGCTTTCACAAGGCAGTGAAGCTTGACCATACTTGCTTTTACGTGTATTGCGACTTGTCAAAGTTTGTAATAGCTCAACTGTTGACGCTAGAAGTGATGCATTCTATGTGAAAGTTTTGTACTTAACTTCGGGGATTCATGTTTTCATAAAGTTTTCACAATATATCAGTAAGGTCGAGTTGGATAATACGCATTCTTGGGAAACGCCCACGAACACGACGGAGACACGAGATTAGAAAGACTCAGTACTTCGCCTTTGTCTTGTGCCTCCGTCGTTTTCACGTTCATTTTCGAAATATCTATCAAAATGCTGACAACGCTGTTTCACTGCCAGCAACCTTTGGCGTGCAAGAAAGGGAGCTAAATTTTCTCTCAGCCTGTAAACCAAGCAATCGCGGCTACTCGATGTGCGATAAATAAAAGACCAAAATTAAGAATGACCAGCTGATATTGATAACAGGTGCTCATAGCAGCACTTTTTTGCTGTGCACTTGAGTTCCTGTCTTATGTAATGTTATGGCCCGTGAGTACACAATGACACTACTACAACCAAGAAAAATTTAACTAACATTTATTTGTAAAATAACTGCTACAAAATAGAATTTTGATCCCCTTCTTAGTAGTTGCAAAATTTAGCTGGAAGAAGACAGCATCATCCAACTTCCTGACGACTTGACAACAGGGTGAGTCCACAATGTACTGGACCTGTACAAGATGAAGAAAACAGACGAAAAAAACAACAGATAAATCAAAGAGTTTAAAAAATGGCACCTGAAACTTTCAACTTGCCCACCACAGCAGTGAAAAGACTCCTGTTGTCATATGTATTTTCTGCCTGTTGGTTCACGGGCACAAGTGCCAGTCTTGTTTATTAATAGAAGCTGCTTAGCATTACTTCATTGCAAGACTTCTCTCTATCCGCCACCCGAGAACGCGCTCTGTAGCGGTCAGGCTTCGCCTAGAGACTTGTGGCAGTGTGACGTTAATGTGGGCAATGTATACACAGACTTTGGTTGCTTAATTTGTAGCAAACTCATTGTGAGCAAATTTCATAGTTGAATTGATAAAATATTTGAATGTAATATAACACTAAAATGCTGAGGCTTTAGAACATTACAAACTCAGCCTGCCTACATTAACAATCCTAGTTCCACAGGCATGCAAGAACTGCTTGCATAATCATGAATCAACTAAACCATTTTGATATATTGACAGGTTTTCAAAAATGACTATTTTTGAAACATTGATATTCATATTTTTCTCCTAAATTGCAAGTTACTGTTGCTGAAAAAAAAAAGCAAATCATATACAAGATCTGATATTTTTTTTTGCAGTTTACAGCTGCACATGGTAAAAGGCTGCATGCATGAGTGTTTGTTGTGTGCCATTCATGGTATTATTTCCGAAATCCTTTTTCAGTTGACATTTAGTGATCAGCCTATAAATTTTCTTGTTTTTTATTTTTCATTCCGTTCATTAGATATGAATATATTTTAGTTCAGGAAAATTTGCTCAACGAAGGGAAGTTTTTCTACTTTTGGCAAAAAAACAAAGCAAGAACTAGTTCTAGAACTTTTATGAAAGAGACAGGTTTGAGGTTTGACGTGATGAGAAGTCAATAAAGAAGGAATGCCACAGAAAGGATTGCCTCAACAAAGGAATTTGGTTCGTCGGGGTAACATACATTTGGCAATGTTTTTATGTACTTGTAGTTAACGCTCCACCACTAGCTTACAACAAGAAAGAAAAATAAGGTGGTGCATGCAGAAAGTTAACTCATCACATAACGTGAAAATTTGACCCAGAACAAGAGAAGGAACAAAGACGAATGCTCACCTCCAACAAGATTTATCTTGAAGAGCAAACATATATACTCTTGAAATGCAAAAAATAGACAAATCATTCAAAAAGCCCACAACTGCCATGCACGAAAACCTTACATCCTCAGGAAAGACAATTCGTTTTGACAAATCTCTAGAGAAAGAGTGAGAGAAAGTACTGATGCAGTTCAGCTCTAGTCAACAAATCTTTTTTGCCACGACAATTTCTCTTGTAGTTTTTTTTCCCCCAATGATAATGGTGTCACACAAAAGTGGTTTGGAGCCACACCTGCTGCAGTGCAAGGCCAAGAAACGATTGCGACCATTCTTGAGGTTACAAGGGTGTTCATTGCAGCACGTGTGGCTGCAAAATGATTTTGCGGGACATCATTATTGCTGGAAGAAAAAACAACAAATAAAATGACAAGAGAAATTATCGAGGCAAAGAGGATTTGTAGACTAAAGCTGAACTGCATCAGCACTCTGTCTCGGGCTTTGTCAAATTGTCTTTTTTGAAAATGTAAGATATTTGCGCATGGCAGTTGTGGGCGTCTTGAATGATTTGCCTGATTTTTACATTTCAGGAGTATATATGTGTTAGCTCTTCAAGATAAATCTTCTTGGAAGTGAGCACTAGTGTTTGTTCCTTCTCTTGTCCTGGGTCAAATTTTTGTACTATGTGATCCATTATGCATTACCAACATGCCTAACTTCATACTTTCGATCCCTGAAGTCAGTCCTTAAAGGGCCACTCACCAAGTCCCATAACAAACTGTGGAAGTTGTGTATCTAACGGAGAGCATTATACCACAAAAAGTTTTTCAATCGGTTCATTACGAGCTGAGAAAACAGTTTCTTCTTTTTTTAACAGCAGGAAACAAGGATGAAAGGAGGCAAGCTCAAAACCCTTGCCACTCTCCCGTGTAGCCTTCACAAGCCAAATCTCTTTCCTACCCTCTCCAGCATCCGACCAAGAGGTCACGTGCACATGACGTGCTCAAACAAGCCCAACCCTCGAGCGCGCGAGCGGTGTTGTTTTGTTGACCAGCATTGTATTGTGTCTACTGCCTGTTTTTGCGACATTGTTTGGAAACGCTGGCTTTGATGTGGTTGAAAAGATGAGCATAATGAGTGCTCGAATGCGCAGGACCATTAATTTCTTTTCCAGGACAGGAGTCTGCTTGATGCAGTAACCGCGGAGACACAAACGCATGCGAAACGCCAGCACATTAGCTCGGCATCCCGTTGCAATTCACGGGGAAAAAAATGAAAAAGACAAACACATTCTCCTATTGCGTCTCAATATGTATCCCAAGTTTTATTAATCTCTTCAAGCAACAAATTGCATTACGCATGTCACGTTAAATAATTTCCGCCATGTCACGTGCCACTGTTGGCAGCGTCAGAGCACAATCGTATACATAGAGGACCAACGTCACTGCACTGCTGTGTATGTAGGGCGATTCATACGTGCACATCATAACCTCCTTTTCTGGGGGCGCGACCCAAAAAAAAAGGGAAAGAAGCGTTCGTTTTGAAATTTGACCCATTTCCGCGTCGCATAGAGTTGCAATGTTTGGCAGACGTGACCATAAACTCCCGATGTACGCATAGCACTTGTCAGCTTAAAATCGCCAAACCCGGTGAGTGGCCTTTTAAAGAAAAGCAAAAATTAGAGGAGGAGACATGAAGAATGCTTAGAAATTTTGCCATATGTCTACACCAAAATGGAATGCTATTATTAATTAGAAGAATGTATCTTTTCCTTGGCAACCAGCAAACATGACTGAGAACACACGAATACTTTTTTGTCCAAGTTAGCTGCTAAAGAGCCGAGACAAGCTCCGTGAAATCCTCTTGAACAACTTGCACAAGTAATGTCCAATACTACCCCACTATATTGTGGTTGCCGGCAGACACAATGTAACTTGTAAATACTATCTCTTGGCTGTACGGGAGCAGCCATGGAGTTTATGAGGGGAAAGTCTTCGATCATACCATTCTGTATGCATTGCAGCAAATGTTTGCGTAGCATAACTTGGTTAAGGTTCAAAGTTTCTGGTTTTCTGCCTGACGCTATATTGCCACGTACCATTCCCCAAGCTTTTGTTATCGTCCCAAAACACCACACGATTCTCAGCGCAAACCGCGCCTGCAGTTTTCGAGAGGGTTCCGGACTGTAGTAGATCATTTCGATAAGATCACGCCCACTGTGCGAATGGTACAGATTGTTCTGGAACGTACGCCGCCGCCAGCGGTAGCGCTAGAACATTCGACGGCGGGAGTATAAATTCCGACGCGCTTCGCCGCTTGTCAGTTGTTGTTGATCGAAGGCCGACGCTCCGTTCGCCGCTATCAGTCCGAGACTGCTATCTGTGCGAGACTGCTGCAGTAATTGGACTTTCCGTTTACCGGGCACAGGTTCGCCCAAATAAACAGTTAAATCCCAACACGAAGTCTCCTGTCTTCGGCCACGTCACGACCCCGTGACATCTGGTGGAGGTGCTGCTTCGTTCATGTACCGCACGCCCCCGTCAAGCCGTGAACCCAGCCCACGTCGCGGAGAAGACACCGACGCCAACCAGGAGCAGCGAACAAGCCGCCGACAGCAAGGGCTACCACCGGAGTACGGGCTTCTACACGACAAGGCGCGGAAGACCAAGGCCATGACCGCGACTGCAGGGACAATGACAACCGCAGCGTCCCAGCCCACGATGGTCATGCATCAACCCAGGGAACCACCAATTTTTCATGGGTCATCGTTCGAAGACCCGGAGTCCTGGTTAGAAACATACGACCGTGTGGCCGCCCTCAATCACTGGGACAACGAAGAAAAGCTCCGGCGTGTGTACTTCTACCTGGAAGACACCGCAAGGACCTGGCTAGAGAATCGTGAGTCCACGCTCCGAACGTGGGATGTCTTCTGCGGCGCATTTCTGCAAACGTTCGCGAGCGTCGCTCGCAAAGAAAGGGCCGCTGCTCAACTAGAGACCCGGGTTCAGCTACCGAATGAGAAGGTTGGAATTTTCACAGAGGAGATGACCCGCCTATTTCGTCACGCTGACCCAGACATGCCTGAGGAGAAGAAAGTTCGTTTCCTCATGCGAGGGGTCAAACAGGAGCTCTTCGCTGCACTAATGAGGAATCCACCGAACACCGTCCAAGAATTTGTATCCGAGGCGACCACCATCGAAAAAACCCTTGACATGCGCACCAGACAGTATAATCGTCGCCTGACTCCAGAATGCGCTGCTGCTCAAACCAGTGACTCCGAAAACCTGCGTGAAACGATCCGAGCGATTGTGCGGGAAGAGCTGCGCAAACTGTTGCCTTCGGCGCAACCTCAAGTGGATTCGATCGCCGACATTGTGCGAGAAGAAGTCCGGCAATCACTTCGAATTCCCCATACACCGCTGCCCGAGCCAGAAACTATGAGCTACGCCGCTGCAGTGCGCCACAACGCTCCTCCCCGTCCACGCCAAAACGCCGCCCCGTCGCACTTCCGTCGCCAGACACCACCGCCGCCACCACCCCCACCAACGACCTACCGCTCACTAGCAGCCCAGCGCAGTGCGCCGAGGAAAACCGACGTTTGGCGCACCCCTGACCACCGCCCACTGTGCTACCACTGCGGCGAAGCCGGGCACACTTACCGCCGTTGCCAGTACCGACAGATGGGACTGCGTGGCTTCGCCGTCGATGCACCACGTCCGCAGCCAGGAGAACGACCACGTGACATAGCCGACTACCTGACAGGATCTCGGTGGACACCACGAAGCCCTTCGCGTTCGCCGTCGCCCAGCCGCCGCACGCCACCGCACCACCGACAGTACTCTGGCCCAACGCGGGGCCGGTCTCCTAGCCCGTATCCGGGAAACTAAGGGC